ATTTAAACTACCCTTCTCGACTCTAGTTAAAGTTCCTATACAACGATATCGGTTATCACTTCGTTGCACTCGATATAGAAATGCGTGTAAAACGGATCACATTTCACATAACGCGACGCATGATTTTCTGCGTTCCAAGTTTCATTGGAAACAGCGACAAATTGCGAGTGTAAATTGCTTATCTTTCGAAATGGCGGAAAGACTGGAGTACACGTCGCACTAACTCGAGAAACGCTAATTATTTTATATTCTTATTTTATTTTCTCTTTCTTAGATAGAGACGCAAAGCGAGTGGTTCGGTGCGCGCAGATTCGTTTCTTTACAAACATACCGACGATGCCTTGTCGGATGGACGTCTTTTTGTCTTTCTTTCGATTTTCCACGTTGCCTTTAATCTATTCGTCATTTTGCAATTTATTGTTGATTAATAACGGGTAAACAGGAACGAAAAAGAAAGTGAGAAAGTGAGAGAATAAAGAAAAAAAATAAGATAAAGAGAGTGAGTATCTATTCTCGATCGCGGAAACAAATCAATATAATCAAGAAATCGTAATAGCAAATCATAACCATAACGAATGACAAAAAGCGTAAAGAAACAAAAATGGCGCTCGGGAGGAATACTGGATGCGCGCATCATCTGTCGTTGCACGACAAGGACAGAGATGCAATTTTTCTCTCATCTTCTCTCCTTATATTCCGTGGTTCTAAAACTTATACTCATATTCTAGATTCTGTAGAATTACTAAAAAATGCAAATCATTTCACACAACGTTAAACTGCATATTTAATACCGATTTTTATTGATTTTCGATTTCACTTATCAATTTTGCAATGAGAAGCCAAATTAGGTGATATAAGTTCAGCGATGTAAATTATAAAATTTCAAAGTCTTTTGTCGGCACTCGTCGGAATTACAAATTAATTTTAATAAAATATCGCCGCTACTGAATAAAAAACGGACGAAGACGTTAACTCGATGCGATTACAAATTGCATTTTCAATTTCGTGCGAGGCTTGATTACATCGCGAAGAAAAACCGTTCGTAACAACTACGTTGTGTTTTATTTAACAACGACGACGACATTGACGAAGTATACACGTAGGAAAAAAAAAAAAGAAAAAAAAGGAAAAAACCCGAGATCGCGCAGACGAGAGACGCGCGCGCATCACAGACCGAAAGAAATGGCTGCTTTTCATTTCAGCTAGAGGACGTAATGAGGGAAAAGAAAAAGAGATTTGTGATTTACGTACCGGGCAAATTGTCTCCGCCGCCGGTCACAAACTGTCGTACTAAACAGAAACGGAAAAAATCATATCTCGTTAAAATCCAACTGGCAGCACACGCGATTCGCTCGCCCCTGTGATACGGGTGGCGGTTTCGGGGGGATGATAAAACGTGTTTAAAACGTGCGATAAAACGAAGCAAAGGAATTTAATAAAAGAAAGAACAGAAAAAAAAATAAAAGCAACGAGTCTCGTGTTGGTCATCGATTCAAAAAAATTCATTTCTTAAAAAATGAGAGACAACATCCGTAACTTTAACATGACAATTTGAGAAATTTTATCATCCACGAAATTGTTTACGAACAAGACAATTCGAAAATTTTATTAGTAAAAAGCAAGAATCTAGACTAAATAGTGAAAATAATTCATATTTAGTATTTTGATAGGATATTGCGATCATTTCTTTGTGTTCATATGCAAATAATATAGAAAAAAAAAAAGAAAAGTTATACATGTACTAAGAAAACAAAAAACTATAGAAAATTGTGTGTAAGTCGCTAATAAACAAATATCTGTAAACAAATATCTTTTTTTTTGTTATTTCAATGCTTCTTATCATCGCCGAATTGATATTCGTTGCTTTCGCATCTAATGCTTCGCGTGATAATGAAAAAACGATAATTATCGTTTTACGACAAAATAAAAAAATTGTGACGAGCATACAAGGGGCGAGCGGACTTCGTGTAAATTACGCTATTTCAGATCTCCTTAATCATATAAAAAGCGTGAGCGTCAAAAGAGGAAAAATTCGGCGTATCGCGCGTGTTCACTTTTGCGGATGGGAGGAAAAAGCGACATTGGACAAACCTAAGTCCTAGGAGGGAAAAAAACGAAGCAAGCCTGGTGATGATAATAGAAGGATGATAATGATGATGATAATGATAATGATAATGATGATGATGATGATGATGATGATGACGTGATAGGTGTATCGGAATGAAGGATGGAACTGAAAAGTGAGCACAGTAAGGAAACACGAAATTAAGATCGAGGTGGAGGCCATGAGGCTTCTTGTGCGTGCAACTGGGCTGGCCAGGAAGGGGCATTTGCAATAAATAAACCAAAGACGCAAATGAAATCCAATTCGGGGAGGTTCGTACATTAAAATGCGAGAGACACTTGCGCGACACTTGGAACTGTCATCATCGTCGTCGGTATTATAGCTCCCCTCGAGAACGAAGTTGCGTGTATATGCGAAGCTGTATACCGTACTCGTGAAAAAACGTTGCTCTTCGTGCACATCGAATGAGGAAACGTGTGGAAAAGTGTGTACAGGCGAAAGAAAACATAATGAAGTGAAACTGATACGATCTCGTTCGCTCAATAGAATATTTATCATTGTTGCTTCAACGAGCTACTCTTACTCGCACTTTCGTTATCGTTATCGTTCATGGCGCACCGACCCACCCTATAAACGGACACTAACCCCATGGCCTACGCACCTGTGATCTGGATGTATCGAGTTTTATTTTAAACGAGATCACCGGAGATTTCCGATTTTGTCGCTGTCTTAAAATAATAGCTTTCTCGTACATTGACTTCGTATTGCAAAGTTCGTTTTAACGCGATTAGAGACAAGTCAGATAAATCGGATCGAAGTCGACTAAGTGAAAATATTTTCAATCATGTCCATGAGACAATTCGTCGGACAATTCGTAGGCAATTCACTTCGCGTCGTCGGAAAAATCGACAAGCGGTCAATTTTACTCGAATATCGTGACGGATGATTCACCGCGGTTCAAGCTCGCGAAGAATATCGACAGACGGACTTGGGTGCAGACCACTTACCGGTGATGTTGTCGCACAATATCCGCGACGTGATAATTCTGCCGTAAGGACTGAACAGATTCTCCAGATCTTGCTGCGCCATATTTTTCGGCAAGCCGCTGACGTACAGATTTGCGCCTTTGATCGCCTCGCTGCTCGGTCTCGCGTACGACACCTAGAAAAAGAAGGATAATCGCGTTCCGAAAAGTATTCTCTTTCCCCGAAAAATACTTGCCGAGTCATCCGATAATGAAA